AGATGGGTAGTTGTTTCTATTGTGAAGCAACACATCTTTGAAGAAGCGCCATTCAATAGGAATACATGCAATACCTATAGCCTGGAACAGAACGGCAACATTGTTGCAGAAGAACAGCCCATCACTCTGACTAAAAAAGTTAGAGAAACTTTGATGTCGCTATCTCTGATCCGCAACTTGTACGCTATTATCAACCAAGTTCCTCTGTTTGAGCCTGGATATCAGAAGATCAGCATTCAATATCGTAAGCCCGAACTCCCTAGTTAAATCATTACGTCTTTCTGGTTAGAGAAGTACAGCTTCCTATCCCCAACTTCATCAGCAGAATCATAGTCCATATCTCCAGTATCTGTCTCGCTATCTGACTTGCTTCTGTCTCCTAAAGATGGCGTTCTTGAACATTTCAAAAGAAGCTTTTAGAATGTTCAAGAACGTTCTAGAAAGTTCTGAGAGTTTCTCAAAAGCTCTTAAAGTTTTTTGAACGTTCTAGAGTGTTTAGGAGAATTGTAAAAACATCTGGACAACTCAAGCAGTTCAGGAATATTATAGGAGGAAGCTTGGCATTGAAAGCAAATCGAGAAATTTCTCTAAAACACATGATTTTCTAAATTTCAATGTTCCGGTCACAAAATCAAAGTTTTTCTAGAATAATAGCGATTTCTTTTCTGTTCTAGACTTAACGGGAAAACTTTCAACCGAGGAGCAGAAAAAAAGTCAAAACTTGTTACATAGTGTACATAGTATCAGATTGGGTAAAAAAAAGTACTGTTTTCTATTAGCATTTAATAACTGTTAGAATCTAGCCTAGATGAAATTTGTAAAAAAAAAATGAAATTAAAAGTGGTTTTAATAGCAACTTTTTTCTAAATAAAAAAAACAAACAAACAGTTGCAATAACCGTAATAATACCATAGGAAATTATTTCAAAAGATTTTGTGAAATAAGACAAAAAAATGTTTAAAAACATAAGATAAACAGACTAACAAAATCCTCAATTAATGTAAGAAAACTCCAACCACTGTTTAATTCAGAGAAAGTAGTCTAATAACGCCGGCGGCTTATTTCATTTTTGAAAGTTGGCTCAACAACGTTCAAGTGACACCATTTAGGAACCAATGTCAGAACTCCTTAGATATATAATTTCTTAGTTATTAAACATTATATTTAGTGAAAATTTTACCATTTTATTGAAATTTTCAGGCATTTACATTTATTCTATACAGTGTAGAGAGCGTGATTTTTGACCAATATTTTTTTTTATCATTGATCAAGTAAGTATCGAATTTATTTATATTTTACAAGCAATCTTTTATTGCTATTTTAATTAATTTATATGTGCAATTCGATTTTGAAAAATAAAATATCTCCATAATGATAACAAACAAAACTGTTTTACATAAAACGTGGTACTCTGGCCAATAACGCTAGACCGCAATCGGCTAATAACGCCATACGTTTAATTTAAATTTTCGATATAAAGGTTTTGTATAAATTTGTTATTGTAAAGCTCTCAAAGGTTGTAGTTTACTATTATTTAATGTTTTTTCTCTCAACTTTAATGTAAACTACTGTAATTTAATGTTAAAGTTTAAAAAATGAAACAAAAAAACGCATAAACATAATTCTTAAAAAAAAACTTAACTGTTTAGCGAATACCTTTGAAATGTACTTTTGTTAATGCTTTTTGTTCACAACCTCATTATTCAAATGTTGTTACCTTAAGGATGTTTATAACTAAGCCAAGTTACACAAAAATAGTCGCGGAACATAACTCAAAAAAAAAAATTCGAAAATCATTTAAAAAGAGAAGTAAGAGTAATGAACGTTTTGTGAAGCTCTTTTATCACGACAAAAGAAATAAAGACAATTGGATTCAATGCGTTGAGTGCAAAACTTGGTTTCATGAGCACTGTGACGAAGAAAGGATCATAAAAAGTGGCTTTTGCACTTTGTGCAAAAAGCGGTACATCATTTAGAGTAAGCGACTAAATGATTAGATTATAATTATTTGTGACAAAAAGGTCGATAAATAGTATGATTTAATAAAAAATGATTCATTTTTAACCATATCTTGAAGTTAACTGCGTTATGAATAACGAAATATATAAAAAATTTGTGGATGGCGTTATAGCGTGCATATGTACATTATTAGACTACTTTACCCTTAGTCAATTTTAGTTTATTTAACTAATAATATAAAATTGCGTTTTAAGTATTAACTTAAACTGTTGATAAAAAGTTAGTGAGCTTGTTGTAACAGCAAAGAAAAAAACCAGGGTGCCAGCTTTTAAAATTGACAGCACTTGTACTGAAATAATTGTACTAAAAAATAGCGGGTTGTTAAATAAAAAAAATGTTTAACATCATTTATATTTAACAACCAGCAGGCAGTCAATTACAAAATCTAATTGCTCCCTTTGGAGCTTAACAACGTGATTTAAAACAGTGCTATAACATGGTATTTTCTAATCCATATATATAATAACTATAATACTATAAATTGGTAATTTATGACTATTGGCTTAAAGAATGTATAGTGAAAGTAGTTCGGATTAGTTCGGATTAATAGATTAGAATGTATAGTGAAAGTAGTTCGGATATTTAAAACAAAAAGACAAAGAAATGTTGTAAATAAAGATATGTTTAAATGTAATGTCATTAAAAAAGCAAGAGTAAAAGGTGAAAAATAAACAATTGGTCTGTTACGGTTCTAATTAGGTGACCTTATTTGTGGTAAACCTATTCCTGCTGAACTACACAGTAAAAAAAAAGGTAAAAATTTTTATCTTAGGGTAGGATGTGTAATATACTTATAGTGAGGTATACTTTTCTACCTTTTAAGGTCAAAAAGTATACCTTTAGGTAGAAAATTGTATGACAAATTATTGTTTTTGATATAATTTTTTTACCACAAAAGGTAAAAATTTATACCTTACTAAGGGTATATCCTACCCTAGGGTAGAAATTTTAACCTTTTTTTTAGTGTGTAGTGTGCAACTGTCCCCGAAAATACGATTTGCATAAAAATAAAACAAAAAATGTCTGGAATAGTTTTTACCTCCTGAAAACTATAAAATGAATTAGAATTATAAACATTAATAGAAGCTAGGACAGTTAAGCATAAAAAAAAAAAAAAAAGAAAAACTCATATGGTACTGCGTCATATTCAACCCAAATGGACAAGCTAAAAGTTAAGTAAACATTTATGAAAAATGTGAAAATCAATTGTAAGTTTTGTCCAGTTTGCAAAAATGTTTTTTTTACAGGCATTTTCTTTCTTAAGATAAAGTTGCAAGGTTATGCATCCTATAACGGATGCATAACCTTGCATCTTTAATGCAAGGTTATGCATGTCAAATACTTGTCGATATGAGAGGAAAAAATTGTTGTGGAAATGCTATTGATAGCAATTTATATGTGCTGATATACGAATAAGTTTCAGAGTATGAAGTAAAGGAAACATTATGCTTTTTTTTAACGAATTTTATAAATAAATTAAAAAAAAAAAAAAAAGAAAGATAAAGAATAAAATAAGAAACTTAAATAAAATAAAAATATAGAGAATGAAGAAAAGAAAGAAAAAAAGAAAAAAAAAACAACTAAAAAATTAAAATAAAAAAACAAATCAAACAAAATTAACAAAAAAAAAAAAAGAAACGAGAAAACGACAAAAAACCAAAGTTAAAAGAAAAAAAACATTCGAAAATGGAAAAGAGTTGAAAAGAAATTAAAATAAAATTTAAAAATTGCTCTGATTTTGAAGAAAAGAAAAAAGAATATTCTTAAATTCTATTATTTTTGAGTGACGGTATGTGTTTGCTTGATATGATTTACTTTTTTATTTTAATATTGTCATTTATTATTAAAACTCCATACTTTTCGTGACTAAATGTTTGAGTGTGTGACACGTTTTTATTTGTGAGTATTATTAAATAATTTTTGTTTTGTTTATTTATTGTTATTTTTTAATGAAGTATTTATTTTACTTTTATTGTTTTTATTATGATTATTGATATTAAGATTATTAAATTTGTTAAATCATTGTTACTTTTTTTTTTGCAGTAATTGTTTTAGTTACATGGTAGGTTGTTACGTTTTGTCAGTACAAAACTGTTTGTAACTTTCCTGTCTGTGCATTGTTGTTGTACAATTGTTGTTTTGAAATTAATATTGGTTTACTATCATATAATTTTCTTATTATTCTTATAACTTTTAATTTATCATCATTATTATTATCATTATTATTTGTATTATCAATTCTATTTACTTAAGATTAGTTCAACTATTTGTAAATGACCTCGATTGTAAGATCTTTTATCGAAAAATATATTGATTAGATTGATTGATTGGTTTATGGTGCTAGGATAAAGCAATACTTTTATGCAGAGTTAAATATTTCCAATGTTTGCATTATTGACCACCTTGAGTTAAGAGATAAATTAAAATATAGTTTTATTTATAGATACTTTATGGAAAACTTTAGTTTATCATTCCGGCAACCACAAATGGATGTTTGCAGTAAGTTTGAGAATTTTAAATAAAAACTAAAAGACCTTTGTCTAAGTGAGAATGTAAAACCTAGCTTAGTTGCTGAACAAATGATACACAAACGCGGAGCCAAGTATTTTTTATAAAACAAAAGAAGATGATTCAGAACGCTGATGAAAATTATTAGTGTTTTGATTTGACTACATGCAAAATTTACCACTTCCAAAAATATCTGTACGGAGGTGTTCTATACGCACACACAAAAATTTCGTTTTTTTATTTTTTAGTTGTGGTAAAAAAATTCAGTTAAACAGCCTTTTTACTAAAACGCAAAATTTGTGTATTTTCCAGAACGTGCGTTATCTGCGTTAAGGTGGTTTACACATGAAAAAGAAACGAAATTGTCTATAAACCAAATAAAAACTCATTTAAATAAGCTTTTATCCCAATAAAAAACCGAAAAGGTGGATGCTCTACTCCGTCAATCAAAAAAACGGCAAAGCATTAAAATATAACACAATAAATATATATTTTAAGAGCTAATATTATATACACTTGAACATTGGGTTTTAAAATATAACATAAAAAAGTAATATTTAAACATCTCTTCATAATAAACTCTTATTTATATAATTTTTATTAATGAAAAAAAAGATTTTTTTCTCAAGCTAAAAAAAAAAGAAGCTAAAGGTAATAATGTAAACACGCCAGCGTGAACGTTTAACCAATTAGCTTAAAAAGTCATTAAAATTCTTTGTTAAAAAGTACAAATTTTAATTTTTCAGAAATAACTTATAAAGATCAAAAAAATATTTTTTTTATAATCAATGAAAAAATATAGCATTGCCAAAGACTATAACCAAAGTCAATATTAATAACGAAATGTAAGACAAAAGCTACAACCCAGACAACTACAATAAAGGTCTACCAGATACTACGATGAAGGTCTATCAGGATAAATTTCTCTCAGTTGATGATCCATCAGTTTTATAGAAAAATCTTGCATTGCGGGTAAAACCAAATATTTCTAAAAAGATTTTACTGTTGAAAAAACATTTATCTTTCAAGGTAAACTTAAGAGGTTAAGCTGTATATCTAAAACTTTGAAATAATTTTACTTAATTATGCAAACCGATTCTTTAATTAGTTTTTTTAATTGTTAAAAAATTTCATTAGTATGGCATACAAATTTTTTTTTCAAATGTTCAAACAGTTAACCGCCCATATTACATGAATTATAAAGAAAATTTTTATATAAAATAAAACTCTTTTGGCGGCAAAATTCTTTGCACACTTTTTACCTCTCCTCAAACCTCTATACGAAATTAGGCTAAACATGGTTGTATCTATAAAGTTAATTAACTACCTTGAATTCTTCCTTCAGCTTTTTTTCTATCCAACTGGTGAGATAATTAAGTCGAACTTGTTTTTCTCCAACTTTAGGAGATGCAGATATGAATATGGCAGGGTTACCTCGAAATCCAAACCTAGAAATCAATTAAAAGTGATTGATGATATAAAGACTCATCAAAGAGACAATTTTTATGTAAATTTTTTTAACTGTAAAATTTTTATTAGTTTTTAAAACATAAAGATTAATTTGTATATTATATATTCTGTTTAATATTTAAAAATTTGCTTTAAAAAAAAAAAAAAAATGAAAAAGCTGTTAAGAAACAATTTAGACAACTTATCGAACGCTTCGAACTTTAGACAAAATTAAACAGTCGGTTTATATATTCCTTTTAACGTTTTTTATATGGGTGTTATTTTTTAGAGCTGACAAATATAAAGCTAATGACATCTTCAACATTGCGAAATGATGTACGTATGATGAGGAGGTTTTAAAGATATTGGTTTGATTAATTACAGTAATTAAATTTAGATGCTGCTTGTCTTTTAAAAGACAAAAGAAAACCTCGTGAAAAATAAAGTACCGTTATTAGGAGTCTTTTTATTCAAAAAAAGGTAAAAAAAAAAAAAATTAAATCAATTACCTTCCAGTAAAAAGGTTTTTTACTGGAAAGTAATTGATTTAAAAAAAAATTAAAATCCAAAGTTTTAAGAACTTTTTACAAATATGCCAAGAATATCTTATCTCAGCTATCACTACTGTCAATAGTAACAGGCGCGGATCCAGCATTTTTTGATGTTTGATTTAGTTAACTTTCTACTTAAAACAAACTCCAAAAATTTATATGTTTATACTTTGTTAAATTATGATAAAACCATGCTAATTTCAAATAAAAGAATTTGTAAATCGCTTTAACTACACTGAGTGATTGGAATCTGGGAACAAAAAAAAAACAACAAAAAAAGCCCTAAAAGTTTGGCCACAAATGTCCCAAACAAACAGCAATAAAATGATGAAATGTTTTTTGTACTATTCTTAAATAAACTATATTCATTGATAAATTCTAAATTTCATACAATATTCTCTTAGTGTTTAAAAATTATGACTATACAAAGTTTGAACCACCCTCAATTTGAGGGGGTTACAAATTTTATAAGGTCATAATTTTAGAACGCTTAGAAATTATTTTATGAAATTTAGAATTTATCAATGAATATAAATTTATTTAAAAAATAGTATAAAAAATATTTTATCAACTTGCTGCTCTCTTGTTTAGGGTATAGTTATTTTTCCCATACATGCAAGTAGTATGGGAAAAAAATTGCAGCCACAAAGTGACAACTTGGTGTGTTTTTGGAATGGTTGATTGATTGGTTTATATTTCTTTGAACATAAAACTATTAATGCTGTTACTGTGAATGATGCTTGTTATTGAATAATGATTATTAACTTTTTGTTTGACAAATTGGAGCATTTGATGTGCAGAATATGAAGTTTGAATAAGACAATATATAACAGCAACAGAATCAATCTTTTGAAAAAGAAATTTAGTGATCAAATAATTTCTAGTAAAAAAAGCAATTAATTGGCCACCAAGACTGTGATTTAACACCATTCTTTTCATGGGATTTTTTAAAGAGCAAAGATTACACTAAAAACCCTCAAAACATTCAACATCCGAAAAGATACATTACACAATATTACAAATTTTTACAAAATTTTTGCTCACTGGAAATTTTTTATTATTTATCAATTAATTTTCTCTGCCAATTCCTAAAATGAAAAATTTTGCTAATTTAAAAATGTCATCGACTGTTTTAAAGTTATAACTATTTTAGCACCAACAGTTAATTAAGGGCCAACACAGGTTTTTTTTTATTTTAGCACCAACAGGTAATTGAGGGCAAACACATCCTCAGTGCTTCACAAAACATTTTATGAGATGATGCTAGTGTGCTTCTTTTACAGCCAAGACCTAGTTGAGGAAAGAAAAGTGGTGGTTACTAAAAGGTGGGTTACTAGACGTATAATAATAAATATATTGAATTTGGAAAAATACAAAGGTTCTTTATACATGAGCTTTATACATGAGCATATGTTTTTATAATAATATGTAATATAATAATACATTATAATAGGTTCTTTATACATGAGCGTTTTTATTTTGGCATCAAAAAATCTTTTATAAAACATATGAAGAACATTTTGCATGACTGTTTTCAAATACTCATCTAAAGTTTGCGCGACCAAATTATTTGATTTAAAAACATATTAAGCATCTTAAGCTCTGAATGCATATCTAATATTCATTATACACGCATTTGGGATAATTAGGTAAGTTCTGTTCTTCTCATAATGGCTACCAGGGATTTTATCAGGAAATCTCCTGATATGATTTTTGCTGTGTATGTGAAATATTAGCAAAATAAAAGTATTACATAAGACCAGGTAACTTATAGCAGATACTGCATGCAAAATATTTTGGAATGCCTAATGTGATCTTTAAAAATATGGAACCTGCAAAACTACTCTAGCAAGATGGTTACAAGGCAACTGAGTTAAGATTTTGTTACCTAAATACAAAGTTAAACTGTTTGATTAGAACTTATTTCTTGATTTCACTAATCACATCTTACCTGATTGATTGGTGATTTCCTGCTAGACTCTTGTACAGCTTGTGGTCAATAACCTGTTTTAGTTTTGCAGAAGTGTTCTCTGGAGCTGTTGTCTATACATTCAAACTATTGTGTGCAAGTGCTTATCAGAGCCTTGTTTTCCAGCTTGCTAGAAAGCAGCATCTGTTATGTTTAACTACCATCTCATTAGTCTTCTTACTCTATCATAAGTAAGGTTTTTGAGTCTTTAATTAATAAATATTTCATCTTTCTTGAACATAATAACTTTCTGATCATCAATATGGATATTGATCTACTAGTTCTACTGCTGATTTGTTATTGGTAATAACCAATAGATTTAAACATGCATTAGATAGATGCGGAGAGGTTAAGGCTATCGCTCTTGACATTTCTAAAGCATTTAATAAACTTTGGCATGCCGGTCTTGTAACATCTTCAAGACTATTGAATCATTCCTTACCAATTGTTGTAGAAATTTTTCCTCGATGGACAGCATTCTTCTTTATTTCCTGTAACTTCAGGGGCTCCTCAAGGTTCTATCCTTAGCCCTACACTTACTTTACTTTACATTAACGATCTCATAGAAACTCTCACAACTAAGGTGGCATTGTTCACTGATGATACTACCATTTATTCTTGTCTTAATAAAAAGCCAACACTCTCTGTTTGCTTGGATGAGGCATTTGAGCTTGAAAAGGATCTCAAATCTGCTACAGCATAAGGTACTCAGTGACTGGTGAACTCTAACTTAGATAAAATTGAATTTTTTTCAGTTAATCCTTATAGCAACAATCTAGACCTTCCTATATCTATGAAGGGCAATGTACTTGATAAGTCACCTACCGTTTGTATTCTACAATTGACTCTTACTTCCAATCTATCTTGGAAACTATAAACCAAATCCATTGCAAAAATAGCATCATCTAACATTGGATCTTTTTATTGCACTTGCCACTTTTCTACTCTGGATTCTATTCTTTATCTCTATAAATCTCTAATCTACCCTTGTATAGAATATTGTTGCCATATCTGAAGTGGATTTCTCAAAATGAGCCCCCTTTTTTTTTTAGACAAGGTGTAAAAATGCATTGTAAACATAGTTAGACAAACTCTTGCAACCAATCTTCAACTACTGTCACATTTTTGTAATGCTGCTTCTTTTTCTTTTTTCTACAAATACTATAATCGATGCTTCTCTAAAAAGATAGTCTCTCTTGTGCCATCTACTAAAATTCTAATTCTAAGTAATCTGTTAATCGTTATCTTGCTTTATAAAATTTATTTTTTCTCTTAACTTCCAACTCTAATAGCGGTTGCTTGGAGCCTTGTTTTAAGTAAAGATGTTTAAAAAAATAACTTTGTTTTCTTTGCTTGCGAAACAGGGTTGATGATGATCATTACAAGAAAGCTCATTGGCCGCCATAAGTGGATATACAGTAAGGATTGTTATGTAGATTCTAACAAAGTCTTTTTACCTTTATTTAACATCAAACTAATTTGAAGATTTTGGAGGAGAAGCTTTACAAGAAATTTGTCTCATGTTTACGAAGCTAAGAAAAACCCAAATAAAAGCAATATTAAGTTAGAGTGAAACTGCAAAGAGCAAAAACAAAAGTTGAAAAAGAAGCTTAGTGTATATTTTATAATGTAGGTTCCTAGAAAATTGCCCTAATTACAAACAACTGGTTGCAAATCTTATTAAAAAATTCAAGAAGCTGGTTATTTGTATGTCCATAAAGATTCATAAGTTGCATTCACATATAAATTTCTTCTCTAAAAATATGAAAAAACATGGTTGATGTCAGTGAATAGCATGGTGAGAAATTTCATCAGAAAATTTCAAAAACAGAAAGTACATATTATGAATGATGAGAAACAGCTATTATGGAGGATTATATATGGTCTCTAGTCAGAAATAATGAAAGTATGCACTCAAGATAATTGCAATTATCAAACCACGTCTAATCTTGATAGAAAAAATTATATCGTAATTGAAAGTTTAAAAACACTTATGGTAAAGAATTATATTGCTTCTTTTTGTTTTCACTAATACTATATTTCCTACATCTTTCATTATATGAAATTTGTTTAATTTGTTATGAAATCAACCTTACGATATTAGAATAAGTTGTTAAACATACTGACTTTTTGAAAGAAAATTACACCTATATCAAGAAAAAGTGAAATTTAGCATAAATAAAAAACAATGCAAAAAAAAAAAAAAAAAAATCAAAATATCAACTGTCAGAACAATGATCATTTTGGAACTATGTGGCAAAATAAATAAATAAAAATTGAAAAAAAGTGGATAAGACCTTTCTTACATTGCCTAATTAAGAAATTGACCTCAAATAAACCATAATTATGTCAACAATTATGTGAAGGAAAATTTTACTAAAAGATTGGAGTTGCAAAAGTTGGTCACTTATCTGACATTCTTTTCTATTATTACCTGCCATGTTCAATAAAAATTTGTGCTTATTTAAAATTTTTTTGCATTATAAATTTTTTGCAATAAAAAATGAAAAAAACTATTTTAAATTTGAACATACTTTATATAACATTTAGAATGGTAATCTGATGTCAAACAGTTTTAAGGAGCTGCAAGGGCTTCAGAACATACACCAACAGATATAATTTTTTTAAATAACTAGCCTCCTTAGCTGTGATGGCCCTCTTGGATTTGGAAAGGTACAATAAAAAAGCAATATTATATATATAGGGAAAAAAGATACAGTGTCATTATAACTGTAAGTGTAATCATAAGTGTTTCATAAGTTATCGTAAGTCTAATGTATGTATGTGTAATTGTATATAGTAATATAGTATAAGAGTTATAAGGTTCTTTTTATGTGCAAGGAATAAAACTGGATTAATAAAAATGTTTTTATAGCATGAAGGAACAGACACAGTAAAAGCATGTAACTTGTTGAACAAAAAGCCAAACAAAAATGAGTTTTGGTTTATTGTAATAGAGATAGCTCATTTGAGCATTCACCATGAGAGTATTTGTAGAAAAAAGAAAGAAATGCAACCTTACAACAATGGGAGAGTGGCTTAAACAGATAAATCAGATAGGTCTAATTACATTTACAATGTGCTTTGTCTGAGAGTAAATGGTTTGTTATTCATTAATATAGGAATGCCAACATTATTGCAATGTTTTTTTGCAGTAAATAAATGAGTTTTATTGTCTAATAATAATTGTGAATTTTAAGTTCAGAATTTTAATCCATAAGCCACTGTAAGTCTTAGGCTGTTACAAAAGAGATAGAAGATTAAAAAATAACTGCTTGTTCGAAGCAATTAAAAATAGAGCCACTTTAGATGTAAAATTTTTATGAAGATCGTTTTTGTAGATAAGAAACAATACAGGAGCAAAGATAGAACATTGAGTTACCCTTAAAGTTATTTGAAATAAAGAATAGTGTAGAAATGAAGAGTGTAGAAGAGGCCTTCAAGAATAACTTTAATACTACAGTTAGAAAGAAACAATTTAATAATCTCAAAACCTTTATCTAAAGAAACTAATAACAGATAACACTATTTGTAGTATAGTTGGAGAGGTCAAAGTGTTTTTTAGAGTTTTGAAAAATTGGAACCACTTATTTAGCACTTTTTAAAAATTTAGTAAAAATTGAAGAGAGTTCTGGAGAACACTTTTTTAAGACTATGATGGAAATCTTGTCCAGAGAACAAACTGTAGAAGTTTTTAATTAAGAATTAACTTTAGCATTGGAAGCCAGAAAGATTTGGATATTTAACAATTTTAATCTGGTTAATCTGTTTAATAATAAGATTCTGGTCATTAGATTCAAGAGTCAAATTAGAGTAAGATTTCTCTGCACATATCTCTGCATATTCTAATGAGAAGTAAAAAGATCAGACCCATGAATTAAAATTTAGACTAACTTTAGTTTATGACATTGTTGAAGACCAAAAGTCTCTAAAACCTAATATCTGATATAAGATACAGGACCTTTTTATAATGGTTCCTTGGAATAATAAAAGGACATTTGTTCTTAAGAGAGATGTTCTTGTAAAAAAGATGTAAAAAATGATTAAAGTTTAATAAAGCAACTGCTTGGTGAATAATGTGGAGTAGAATGAGGCTTGACTTAAAATCCAAGAGAAGGAATAAAAGCTTTTAAACTTTTATTCCAGAATGAATAAAAGCTTCGAAGATGCACTTCATGCAAAAATATTATGGATGTAAACATACATGTTTGCTATTTATTTAGATGCTGGCATAAAATATCCTTACATATTTACATAAACTTTAGTATTTATATGGTGTGGTATTTGCCGAAAGAGATAATGATCAGATGATGATTATGATCATAATGATGATGGTAATAATGATTATGATGATCATGTTGATCATAATGATGTTTAAATATGCATATATATGAAAAAAATAACATGAATTTTAAATTAAAAAATATATTTTAGTCATATATATATATATACTATATATATATGTCACACATACTTTATGAAAAAAAAAAAAAAACTTTTCTTCTGAATAGAAGTATCTTATATTACTCTCTTGCGCAGAGATTTTTATTCAATATATAGGGCTAAATCTCTGCATTGGAGCCAATAACATTTTAAAATTATATTTAGTTTAATTTACTGAACGGATAAAGTAAATTTATCCGTTCAGTAAATTTATATATAAACTAAATCACAACAACCAGTTAATTTACTTAAGTAACTTACAGTTACTCAACTATTAAATTTAATTAATATACTCAAAGACTTGCAAAAGTTGGCTATACAAATGATTTTATTTATATCTCATTAATATAAGCTTTAAAGTAAAAATTATATTAACCAGAAATCTCATAAAAAATATGAAAAACCAAAATCATCTTTTGATATTTTCATTTTATTTAAAGCGATATTAAGATTAAACATTTTCTTTAAACATGCTAATTGTTTTTAGGAACTTTTTAATAAAAGAAATCCATTTAAATAAAAGAATTTTAGTCTTCTAAAATTCTCTCATTTAAATAATTGAAATTTGAAATCAAAAATTTTTTTTTTAATTTTAACGCTCAAAAATTATAAATTAAATTGCTAAGTTTTAATGCTTAATAATTATAAACTTAATAACAATTACAAATTTAATAATAATTATAAACTTAATAATATTTATATATTATAATTAATATTTATAATATATAATAATAATAATAATTTTAAATTTAATATTAATTATAAATTTAATAAGTTTTAACACTTAATAATTATAAATTTAATTGCAGCAGCATCTGTACTACCCAGTGTCATAGTGAGGATCATTCATGAAACTTAAATGTATATCTAGCTAAAGTAACAAGATTTAGATTATAGTGCAATTGAATTAAGTTTTAATTAAATCATAAACACTTTAAATAGTTAATAATTCTTTTTTCTCAAAAATAGTTTTAAGAGTAAATTCGTTCTATTGCAAACATTAAACCAGTGATTATTGCAAATGTTAAACCAAAAATTAAATTATAAAAAATTTAAATTTAAAAAAATTAATTATTTTACTTCTGTTCAATGATATTTTTTTCTAAAAAAATTTTTTTTTTTCTAAAACAATTTGAATGGAAAAAAAAATCAACTATAAAACCATTTGAGTGAAAAAATTAATTATAATTGAATTTTTAACAGTACACTAGATCAATAAACAATATATTATAAAAAAACATGGTATATAAAACTTTTTTGCTTTGATTTTACTCATTTAGTCTATATATTATAGACTCGTATGGACTATAGGCATGTTTTTGCAGAAATATAAAGCTTAAAGTTTTATGACAATGTTTTAATTTATTAATTAGAACTATACACATTGTTTTAAATGCGTTTTGTTATTATGTAAAACTGTATAAAACAGTAATAAAACAGCGTCATTAAGTTGTTTTACATTAACACAAGCTTTTTATTTGTCAAAACAACTTTACAGTTTGTTTTATTGTTGTTCTATATTGTTGCTCTATATTGTTGTTCTATATTGTTGTTCTATATTGTTCTTCTATATTGTTCTTCTATATTGTTCTTCTATATTGTTGTTCTATATTGTTGTTCTATATTGTTGTTCTATATTATTGTTCTATATTGTTGTTCTATATTGTTGTTCTATATTGTTGTTCTATATTGTTGTACTATATTGTTGTTCTATACTCTTTAAAAATAACACATGAAATTTTTTTTTTTTTTTTTTGCAACTAGATTTTTTTGCGTTAATTCAAGTTCTGATATATATATATATATATATATATATATATATATATATATATATATATATATATATATATATATATATATATATATATATATATATATATATATATATATATATATATATATACCTTTACATAACATATATAAAATACTAACTATGTCTAGATTATAGGTATGCATAAGTAGTGCTTAGGTATTGTCTTATGCAACAAAATTTTAGAAACAAATATAAAACTAAATATTACCAAAGTCTATTTGATGGGGGCGGTGGCAAATTAACTGCCAAATTGCCTTTCAAACTTTGAATTTCAACTTTGAGTATAATTGGCATTTTACGAAATTTCTCACATACTCTAGTATATGCTTTTTTTGCAAACTCTGTCTCCGCAACTCGTTTTGCAATCTTTGATTTAGCTAACCAAGAGACGAGTCCAACTAATCTTTTACCTGGGTTGCTTTCTAGAAATGCTTTGGTTCTAAAAAAATCAAATAAAATCTATTAAATAGACTTATCTTTTTTGAAAATTGACATAATTTTTTAAAATTATTTATATTATTGTTTTTTTTTTTTTTTTTAACCAATTACTTGAAACTTTTGTTTTGAATAATTAGTTAAAAAAAAACAAAATTTAGTTTTTTTTATAGATTTAAAACTACATTTTTATAATTTTTTTGTTTTTGAGTTGTTAGATTTGTTAACATATTCATACTCAAAAACACGTTATAAATGGCTTGAAAGGCTGCAAATTATCATGGAAACTATTTTGAACATTTAAGAAAAATTTAAAAAAACTCATAAACTAATAAATTTAAAAAAAATAAAAATTTATGGAGTTCAACAAACTTTTCTAACAACCACATAGCAACATGAGTAATCAAGTACATTTTTATTGTTTTACTTTATCTTATTATTTTGCTTTTTGTTTCCACTTTTTGCTTCATAAACTCTTATTTTTGTTTTCCTCCAACCGTTAACATTTCCTATAACATCCAATTTTTATGAAATTTTTTTATCTAAACATTTTACAGAGGTTTTATAACTTTAAAGCTATTTAAGATTTGCTTTCCTGATATAAAAACGTGAGCTTTAATTTTTAAGAAAAAGAAAAAAAAAACAAAGAATAATGAAAGAAAAGATTGCTTCCCCATGCCAAACCCTTAGTTGATGTAGTAGCAGACTATAAGATATATATATATATATATCTTATAGTATATATATATATATTATATATATATATATATATATATATATATATATATATATATATATATATATATCTTATAGTATATATATATATATCTTATAGTATATATATATATCTTATAGTATATATATATATATCTTATAGTATATATATATATATCTTATAGTATATATATATATATATCTTATAGTATATATATAACTTATAGTATATATATATCTTATAGTATATATATATATCTTATAGTATATATATATCTTATAGTATATATATATATATATATATATATATATATATATATATATACATATATATATATATATATATATATATATATATATATATATATTATAGTATATATATATCTTATAGTATATATATATATATATATATATATATATATATATATATATATATATATATATATATACATATATATATATATATATATATATATATATATATATATATATATATATATATATATATATATATATATATATATATATATATATATATATATATATATATATATATATATATATATAGTCTTGCATGGTAGTCAGAAAGTTTTTCCCATAAACTGTTGTTTTAATAAGTTAATAAGCCTGACTAGAAAAAGTAAAAAAACTTCAGAAAATTTTTTTTTTCTTTTAAAATGATAGACTGCCTGCCCAAACCAAACCCACAGTCGATGTAGCAGCAATCCCTTGCGAGTCAGGCTATTTGTCAGTTGATGTAGCAGCACTACCTTGCGAGTCAGGCTATTTGTCAGTCGATGTAGCAGCACTCCGTTGCGAGTCAGGCTATAAGATAGTCATGTAGCAATACTCCCTTGTAGCAGCAGGCTATAAGATAGTCGATGTAGCAACACTTACGCATGTTTTAAAAATGTTTTTCAATAAAACAAAAACAAAAACAACACTAATAAAAAAAACTTTCTAGTCATTATTATTGCGCTTTTTTTTTAAAAACAAAAAAATTTAATGTACTTCCACATTAATTTAATTGCTTTGAAATTTCGACGACAATAAAATGCAGCTTAAGAGACAAGGTAAAAAAATTGTAGTCAGAAAAGACTTTTTTTTACCATAAAAGTCTCTTTCGACTACACTATAAGGATATATATATATATATATATATATACATATATATATATATATATATATATATATATATATATATATATATATATATATATATATATATATATATATATATATATATATATATATATATATATATATATATATATATATATATATATATATATATATATATATATATATATATATATATACTCTTGCATGGTAGTCAGAAAGAGTTTCCCATAAACTGCAGTTTTAAAGAGCGCGTTAATAAACCAGACCAAAAAAAGTTTTAAAACTTAAATTTTATTTTTTTTTTAAATGATAGACTGCCTGCCCAAACCAAACCCTCAGTCGATGTAGCAGCACTCCCTTGCGAGTCAGGCTATTTGTCAGTCGTTGTAGCAGCACTCCGTTGCGAGTCAGGCTATAAGATAGTTGATGTAGAAACTTTCCCTTGTAGCAGCAGGCTATAAGATAGTCGATGTAGCAACATTTATGGATATTTTAAAAATGTTTTTTAATAAAACAAAAAAAAAAACACCACTAATTAAAAAAACTTCAGGGAGCTTCAGTACATACATTGACAAATAGCCTGACTCGCAGTGGAGCGCTGCTACATCGACCGAGGGTTTGGGATGGGGAAGCAATTGGTTGCATTCATTATTCTTTGTTTTTTTTCTTCTTTTTCTAAAAAAGCCGTATGTGTTTAGGTAAGCAAAAAAAGTGAGCAAATGCTTAATACACTTTAATAAGTGTGTGTGTGTTTATATATATATATATATATATATATATATATATATATATATATATATATATATATATATATTTATGTATATTGTATTTATTCTGATTGACTCCCAACAAAGCTGTAGGCAACCACTATTAAGTTGGTAGTTACTAGAAAAAGAGAATAGAGTTAGAGAGCAAGGAAACAGTTGACAGAAGACTTAAAAAATTGAAGGTTGTATGAATCAGGAAAACATAAAGATGGGAGAGAATTCCAAAGGGATAAAAACTAGATAAATAAAGGTTTTTAGAGCATGCAGGGACGGATACAGTAAAAGAATAAGACTTAGCTGATGAACAATGAGTCAAGCAAGAATGAGTTTTAGTTGACATGACTAAAGATGACAGCTCTTTTGAGCAGCAATAATGATTTTTAGTTGACATGACTAAAGATGATAGCTCTTTTGAGCAGCAATAATGATTTTTAGTTGACATGACTAAAGATGATAGCTCTTTTGCGCAGCAATAATAAGTATTTGTAGAAAAGAGAAAGAATTATCGTCATGTTTACTTATTAAACAAAAATACATAAACAAAATAGTTTTCTTTAGTGTTTTATATCTTAAATATCTATCTTGGATATATTACCTAAATACTATCGGACAAAACCGTATAATGAAAAAATGTTTATGCTTTTTTACCATAATAAAAGTCTTTTATACCTAGATAGTACTTACCCAAACTCTTACTTTCAGTATGTATCAACTGAAGCCCCCACTATGGGGGGCATTACTATGGATGGCTATATTATTATGACATCATAAGTCAAGTTTTATGCAAGAAACCCCTGATCTTCAACTACAGAAAAGATTGATTGTCCATCGCAATAAATTACTTTTTAATATATTTTTTTAAATTACTTTACAATTTATTACTCTTTGAATCAAAGAGTAATAAATTTTATATAATAAATATGAAGAAATTTGTGCTACTCCAAACTTAATCAAAGTAACTTTGGAGTAGCACAAGTTCTTTATATTTTAAACCTTTTTAGGAACAAAATCATTTATGCTAGTTCGCGTCTGCAACTTAATCGCTTCTAACATTCTCTCTTCTGGTGTTTCAGCTTTTTATTTTTTTTCCTTTCATTTTTTTCTTGTTTAGCTTCATCATATGTATCCAAATGATATTTTTTTAAATGCAAATAGATTGTTGCTAAAAGTTTGGCGGAGGTGTATTTGATTCAAGAGGTTAGGGGAGGGTAGCATTTCTTAGTTAACCTCTATTAAAAACGGCTAAAATAAGTTTTAATTACACATGAATCAAAAACATCTCCGCCAAAAGTTTTTGGGGGTGCAACCACATTTAACATTTTTGTGGCATAATTTACATTCTGCTAATGTACTTGCGACATTTTTTGGAAATACTATGGGAAAGAGGTTCAAGATTAGCAAATAGAGCAAGTCCAACTACGTTTACAATGCTTTTTGGACCTTGTCTAGAAGAGAAAGAGCATCATTAGAAGTTCAGCCCAAATATGACAACAGTATTCCATACAAGGGCGAATAAGAGATTTGTAGAGGCAGAGAATGGAATCAGGAGAGAGAAATTTATTTTTGTGTCTGCACATAGAGACCATTTTTCATCGTCTGTTAAGTAAGTTAGCACCTTTATAAAATAATATTTTAAACTTTTTATTTAAACAAAGGTTACTAATTTTTTAAACTGAGTTGTATGGCTGGCAACACCTAATAACTTTCCATTTAATAGATAATACAAAATTACTTTTTAACTCTCTTACTTCTTACTTTTTATTTCTTTGAAAGCTCTGTGTTGTACTTATTACTGTTAAATAGTTTGCGTAATAAACTTTAAAAGAAGTTGCATTTGAGGGAATATATACTTTGTCTTTGTATTCAGTTTTATTAGAACATACTGTTGCTAGGTATACAATCTTATTAGATAACATTTTTTTTATATAAAAACCTTTTTATTGTATTTACAATGTCGTTAACAAATATTATTGTTAATATAACAATCGCTTATAATTAATGCTTAACTTATCACTGCTGCTGTTACTCATTCATGTGCGTTTGACACAAAGTTTATTAAAGAAGATTTAGCATGCTTGGCCTTTTAAAGTTTCTCTTTATATTTTTTACCATGTAATAAGGTATTCTTAAATCTTTATAATCTGTTAACATCTGCTTAATTGGTAATAAGATCTAAAAATTTTATGTTGGATAATTTGATGACTTCTGTAGTAATAGATAAACCTTATGTTATTTTAAATAAGTGTAGTAAATTTATAAATCAGGTAATTTATTTAGTTCATGCATTTTAATAACAATACAATTCAAGTCCTTTGTTAATTGTATTTAAAGTATATTAATCTGTAATTTTTATTTTGAAGAACTAGAAAACGATGCTCCTTTCAAAAGTCAAACTTTTGAT